TCCCCCATAAAATTTTTATTTTTCATTAAAGACCCCATACTTTCCACAAAATCTAATGAAAACTTTACAAGTTGTTAATGATTATATAGTAAAATGTGGAAACAAATCATGAGAAAACAAGCTACTTATTAAAACATACTAGTTTGTTATTAAAATACAGTAGCAGACATCAACTTACTTGGTATCACAACACATATTAAAACTCATAACTATGAAATACATGTCTGATAGCTGTACAAAACATCTAACTGGGGAGTGCATCTAGGATAAGAGAAAACTGAAGTTATAATAAAAACTCTAGGATTATCAAAATGTTATTAATATCAACAAGCATAAAATATAAGGTTAAACCATATGAAATTGTCATCTTTGTATGTTAAAATGATTGAATATTAGCAATTCCATAACAGCAACCTATTAATGATAATGATAACAAAAATGAACTGGATTCTTACAGTGGTAGAGCTTTGTATGTTTTTTTTTTAATTTTTATATACTCAGCAATCTGAACTAGCACTATTTTATCATTTTTACCTTGAGTATCAAAGGAGGTGCTTAAGGTGGCCCTGGTCACACAGTTAATAACAGATGAAGCCTACCTTAGATACCAGTAATTTGACTCCAGAACCTAGGCTTTTAATCCCAATCTTTACAGTTTTGTTTCTAAAAGTGTCATCATTTGTTTTACCTCCAGGAAATGATACTTTGTAGAGGTGGAGTGCAGTTAAAGATAATGTTGCATTACAGAACTTGGATATGTATTTACTGTAGATGCTCAAGATTTCTGAGAGCAATGATTTCTATAGATTTCTTTCTCTTCTTTTTTTTCACTATCATAAGTAGTATATCAAATTCGTGGGGAAAAATACATTTCTTCTCAGTGACTAGAGGGATAAGTGTAGTGGAATGCTATTAATTGTTTAATTATCTCTTTGGGAAAAGGAAGTGGGATATCTGGTTTGCCAATTTCCATAGTATAAATTTTCCTAGCATGACTGCTTTCAAGTTTTAACAACTGACTTCCAAAATTCCTGAAAAATCTATACCATATTGTCCTCCATTAACAACTTAACTTTTATGTGCACAACTTTAATTGATATATAATTTCTTGTGGATATGGTGTGAATTAGAGGCCTCTTTGTCTGTGTCTAAACAGATGGAAAATGGATCAATCTCATTGCTATGGTTTAAAACTTTATCCCCTCCAGAACGCATGCTAAAGCTTAATTGCCA